TGTAGGTGTACATACTACCAATGGCAGCGATGGAGCAGTGTTATTGCTTGGTTTAGGGGAATAGGTGACCAACAGACCCCCACCCCACCCCACCCCCCGGTAATAAATGACGGGCTCTAAACGAACTGTTTTTAATGTAGATCAAAGTACCTGTAGATTCTAAAGCGCAGCGTGATGTTTTAAATATTGCATTTTGAGCGTTAAAATCTACAGGCAACCCCGCTCCACACTGAAATATGTTGCATATGTATCTCCATTCTACCATGACGAAAAATAACCCCATATAAACCGTTTATTGTCAGCAAAGGTGGCTCTGTATACCTACAAACAGCTTTTTCACAAGCACGCTTATGTCCCGAAAACCCAAAGTACATTCTCTTCATAGATTTCTGTCGTGTTTTTTTGTACAAAATGTTTCGCCTTAAGTCCTTTGAATAATGTAGTAACCGCAACATTGCATTTTATTACATATAATTGTGCTATACATTTAAAGAGTCCTACCAACAATGATTCTAGAAAAATATTAGCGTCGATACGGCCGCCTTTTCGTCTGTTTCAATCAGAAGAAGTATATATAGTGATTTGATAAATATTTCATAAATAGGTTTGATGTCATATCTTTGCAAGAAACTAAAACTGACAACTTGGATGATATATGCATAGAAGGCTATAGTTTGTTTCTAAAACATAGACAATCTGGACTTAGACGTTCCGGTGGCCTGGGTCTAGCGGTAAGGAATAAGTACTCCTCATACGTTTCACCTATTGAAGAGTATCATAGTGAGTATGCCATCTGGTTTAGAATATCTAAAGAACTCCTTAATGTCAGCCAACATATGATAATCGGTGTTGTATACCTACCGCCGGAAGGGTCAAGGTATGCTTCTACAGATATGTTTGTGGAGTTAGAAAGATCGCTCCTGTACATGTTATGAGAGACAGAACTGGTGTCGGTTGTAGGAGACTTTAATGCCAGGACAGGGGCCCTGATTGATTACTCTAAACTGGATGTAAACATCCTCGATGCATTAAACTTGAATCTTGACGACATGACGCGTGAATTTGATCCCGAAACTAATCTAACCGATCTGAATATACCCCGTGTACGTACAACAAAAGATAGCGACTAAATAATTATGGTAAATTGCTAATAGAACTTTGTCAGTATTTCAATTTTTTCATCTGTAATGGTCGAATCGGAGATGAGGCGTCGGCCGGAGATTACACTTGCAGAGACTATCTTCTTGCGTCCCCGAAATGTTTACAGCTGTTACAAAATATGAAGGTCGAACTTTCTCTTCGCTTTACTCCGACGTTCATAGTGTTATAGTGACTAATTCAGGACAGCCATCGTCCAAATATTTAAAAAGTCCAAAACTATGTACCCAAGACATGTGAGACCGTATTGTAATATATATATGACGCTAAGCTGTATTTTAATCACTACTGTACATCCTTATCACTACCGCATTGTAAATTAACTTGTCAGCCCATTAATTATTGTATAAGACATTTATAACCTCCATTGGTAATCCCCCTTGGCCGTGTCTGCCATCCCAACAACTGGTCAAGGAAGTACTATTGTTTTTCTGCCTGTCTATTGATGAGTCGTCGCCGGACCATTGTTGTCAAAAACTGTATATATATATACTAGGTATGCTCACATGTAGACAGTGAATGAGGAGAGGGAAGGAGTACGAGTTCGGTATTTGGACTGTCTGTTGGGACGACCACGAGCAGGATAATGCCGCTCGTAGGAAACGCCCTGGGGTTGAGCAGGTACACCGCTCGCCTCGCTCATGTCTTGTGTATTTGTTTGTCATCAACTAAAGACGTTTGAACTCAACTATGCCTTCGTCATCATCAACGCACACTTCATCTTAAATATGAGCTAATTCCCCAGTTGACGCGTACACCACGCGTTGACAGTTTGGTGTTAGAATCCGGCCGGAGTAACTTTTAACTTACTCCCGATCCTGAAACCTCTCTATGTGCCTACCATCAACATTGTGTATCAAGGATGATTCCCCAAGTTCTACATATACCTGAAGAGATTTCAAGCGTCTTCATCAACATGGATCCTCAACGCCGCCATCTTGAATGGAGCATCATACAGAAACCATCTAATGGACAACCTACAAGTTAAGGATGAAACAGCCCACAGAGATCTGATCACAGCCATCAATATGAAGATCCTGTATTCATACAGAAACTACCTCAAGGACATCTTCAAGATGGACAATGTGTACAACAGAACTCACCAGGACCTACTTATCTGTGTGTTCTTAAATGGACTCAGTTCAGCATATACAATGTGTTGTTGTTGATAAGTGCAACCAGGTATGTTAGATCACAGGCCAGTACATTATTACCTTCTTATGTCTATACCATAATATATTAAGTGCATGTGAACAGTGTGCACCAAATTACTTCTGTAAAATGAAGTCAGAATAGGGATATTCTTGGGCCCAGCCATCCACAAACACACATGTATTTTATGTGTCAGTATTAAGAAGACATTAACAGCGAAGCAATAGTCAGCATTTTAGAGTTTTGAAGTCAGAGTAGGATTATTTGTTTTTTTCATTGGGCATAGCACCCACAATATATGGGCAAGCTCTGTCAACGAAACAGGAATAGCACCCATTGTAGGATTATTATTTTTTTATTGGGCATAGCACCCACACTATATGGGCAAGCTCCGTCACAGACACGGGAAGAGCACCCATCGTACTTAAACGGGCAACAGTACCCACAAGTACCGTCTGAGTCGCACGGTAAAGTTTGACTCCTGGTTTCAAATTTCTTAATTCGAAATAGTTGCTGAGATGTTTATGTGTACTTTTTATGATGTAATTACATGTATTGTCATTATTTGGTACTGAGCCTCTAAAACTCTCAATTCTAGCTTATTACTAAAAATCTAACTTCTCACTAACAACTGTAATTTAGCAATGGGATACGATAGGTCTCAACCTCAACATGTAGGTGTTATTAATAGTGCTAGGAGATAGAGACGGCCGCTCTACTTCATTCAGACTTATCTCACCCCTGATTTCAAAGATCTTTTTAATGAAATGTTTATTGAATCTGTCCAATGCAGTAAATACCTGCATGTGAAATGTACATTACAACACATCAGACTGACAAGATGATCACTCCTATACTGTCAACTGTCATCGTTCCTTTGTGATTATTTACTGATCTGAACTGTTGGTATTTATATAGCTTCACTCCTATCAGTTTGGACTCAGTTTATTTAAGCTTGGGGTCCAAGCTTTACGGAGCAGAGGGACGTTGTTATAGTGACTAATTCAGGACAGCCATCGTCCAAATATTTAAAAAGTCCAAAACTATGTACCCAAGACATGTGAGACCGTATTGTAATATATATATGACGCTAAGCTGTATTTTTAATCACTACTGTACATCCTTATCACTACCGCATTGTAAATTAACTTGTCAGCCCATTAATTATTGTATAAGACATTTATAACCTCCATTGGTAATCCCCCTTGGCCGTGTCTGCCATCCCAACAACTGGTCAAGGAAGTACTATTGTTTTTCTGCCTGTCTATTGATGAGTCGTCGCCGGACCATTGTTGTCAAAAACTGTATATATATATACTAGGTATGCTCACATGTAGACAGTGAATGAGGAGAGGGAAGGAGTACGAGTTCGGTATTTGGACTGTCTGTTGGGACGACCACGAGCAGGATAATGCCGCTCGTAGGAAACGCCCTGGGGTTGAGCAGGTACACCGCTCGCCTCGCTCATGTCTTGTGTATTTGTTAGTCATCAACGAAAGACGTTTGAACTCAACTATGCCTTCGTCATCATCAACGCACACTTCATCTTAATTATGAGCTAATTCCCCAGTTGACGCGTACACCACGCGTTGACAATAGTCCTCTTTTATTTTCATTTGCCAGCAATACCCAACGACAAAATAAAACTGCACAGGAACCTGACATGCCCCCGAATAAAAAGCCACGCCGTTATGATTGAGCTAAAGCCAAAGAGTATTGTACACATATTGATGCAGACCTGATGGGAGAACTTATGATACTCACATCAGAAGCCTTATCCGGGAGAGCAAATCCTGCTGACGTCATAACCGAAACAGCAACAAGACTGACTAGTACTCTCGTTGAAGCCGCGCGTGTAACATTTGGAGTGAAATCCGTGAAACGTGGCTTATCAGAAAAGGTAAGCCGTGGTTTGGAAAAAAATGTCGTTCCAAGAGGAAATGTTATTCTAAAGCTAGAAAGCGTTTCCGAAGAAAAAAAGGTTTCCTAAATCATTCGTACTTACGGCATGCTAGTAAAGAATATAAAAAGTGTATGAAAAAGCATTTACGAAAACACAAAGAAAATGTTTGTAAGATGTTAAGAGAACAACAATTCAAAGCGCCTAAAGAATTCTGGCGCGCTCTCAACAAAAAACGAACAAATACCAGCAATGAAAATACACCAAGCCTTGACGAATTCCATTCATTCTATAAACACTTAAATTCGAACCGACATTCTGATGATGTTGAACATAGTAATCTCAAATCCGAAGTTGATAATGATATACTTAATAAGGACTTCACCCTAGAAGAACTGATAAAAGTAGTAAAAAAACTTAAACGAAGCAAAGCTGCAGGATTAGACCAAATCGAAAATGACTTCATCATTGATTCAGTAAATATAGTAGGCCCTTGCCTTGTAAATCATCATTGATTCAGTAAATATAGTAGGCCCTTGCCTTGTAAATCATCATTGATTCAGTAAATATAGTAGGCCCTTGACTTGTAAATCATCATTGATTCAGTAAATATAGTAGGCCCTTGCCTTGTAAATCATCATTGATTCAGTAAATATAGTAGGCCCTTGCCTTGTAAATCATCATTGATTCAGTAAATATAGTAGGCCCTTGACTTGTAAATCATCATTGATTCAGTAAATATAGTAGGCCCTTGCCTTGTAAATCATCATTGATTCAGTAAATATAGTAGGCCCTTGCCTTGTAAATCTGTTCAATCTCATAAGTGTTACCGGCATTATCCCCGAACAATGGTTAACAGGGATCATCAAACCAATCTATAAAGGTAAAGGTGCGAAAACAGACACAAATTCATATCGCCCTATAACCATCCTGAGCTGCCTGGGTAAACTATTTACAGGTATACTCAATGATAATCTGTTTGATTGGCATTTAGAAGTTGGTGACTAATAAGAAAGTAAGAAAGTTTATGGATAACAACTTCTTTATTATATATGATGCGACGTTTCGGTATGGATTCTTATACCGTTGTCAAGCAAGAGTGAAGTACTACAGCACAGAACAGACTTATATACATGAACAGGGATTAAGTAATAACAACATGTAGGACTGAATGAGGGGGATTAACAATAACAACAAGGCACGGTGGCAATAATGTAGTGACAATAGGAAGCCAATGGTGGTGGAGGTAAAAACAAAATATACATGCTGATGAGATTAATTAACAATGATGGCTGAGGTGCTCTAATCTGTTGTTTTTATGAGATCATTGTATGCAGAAGGGATGAGATATCCCTGGTCTCTGTTGATTGAGGGCTTGTGTCTCCGGATTTGAACTGCTTCTGCAAGTTTCCTTTTGGTGAAGTCCTGGTGGTTTTTGGATAATATCTCCACATTGTCCCAAATTATGTTGTGATTGGGGCAGTTGATGATGTGGTCTGATATTGCTGATTTTCTATCAGATTTAGTGGTAGATGATAAGTGTTCTTTGATTCTAATATTTATGGGCCGGGAGGTTTCGCCTACATAGGCCTCGCCACAGTCACAGTTGATTTTATAGACAACACCTTTGGGTTGATGTTGTCGTTTAGAGGTGTTCCTGTCATTCGCTTTCAGTAGGGTTTTTAGTGGTGTAGAGCTGGTAAAGTAGGTTTCGATGCCTACTTCTCGCTTGAGGAGACGGCTGATGTAGTGAGAGGTTTTCCCTATGAAGGGGAGGGAGATACGAATAGGTGTCTATAGAAAGCCAACCCACTCCGACCAATACATTCATTTTGACTCCAACCACCCTCTGAGAACCAAAACTGGCATTATCTCCCCCCTCACCAGACGAGCCATCAACCTTTCCTCCACCAGTCTCACTAAAGAAATACAGCACCTCCGCCATGTTTTCACCAAGTTCAACCACTACCCGTCGAAACTAGTCGATAAAATTATCAGCACCACACTCCACCCAACAAGAAAACCGGCCTCCAACAAACCTGAACCTGCACCTATTCGTATCTCCCTCCCCTTCATAGTGAAAACCTCTCACCACATCAGCCGTCTCCTCAAGCGAGAAGCAGGCATCGAAACCTACTTTACCAGCTCTACACCACTAAAAACCCTACTGAAAGCGAATGACAGGAACACCTGTAAACGACAACATCAACCCAAAGGTGTTGTCTATAAAATCAACTGTGACTGTGGCGAGGCCTATGTAGGCGAAACCTCCCGGCCAATAAATATTAGAATCAAAGAACACTTATCATCTACCACTAAATCTGATAGAAAATCAGCAATATCAGACCACATCATCAACTGCCCCAATCACAACATAATTTGGGACAATGTGGAGATATTATCCAAAACATACTCAATGATAGGCTTACGGAATATCTAGAGACTAAAGCAATTGTGTCAAAGTGTCAAGCGGGTTTTAGAGCCGGATACTTGACTATTGATAATATGTTCATAATGACATTGCTAACAGATATACTGAAACATAGTAAAAAGAAACTTTACTGTGCTTTTATAGATTTGTCCAAAGCGTTCGATAGTGTCTGGAGAGTTGGACTCTTGTCCAAGCTATACAATAACGGAATACGTGGTAGGTTCCTCACCCTAGTAAAAAATATGTACCAGAATATCAAATCATGTGTGCAACTTAATGATAATATATCAGACTTTTTCCATAGTTACTCAGGGGTTCGATAAGGTGAACATCTTTTCCCATTATTATTCTCTATATACCTCAATGACATTGAAATGTGGCTGACAAGTGAGAACTGCGAGGGAGTGAGTGTCTCTGGTTTGACAGACAATGCTTTGATATATGTACAGTACTAGTTGTTGTTACTACTCTATGCTGACGATACAGTCTTGTTTGCCACTAGCCCTAAATCTTTGCAACACTCACTAAACTCTTTCAAAAGATACTGCGACAAATGGAAACTCTACATTAATATCGTTAAGACTAACATAGTCATATTTGGAAGTGGCAAAAGTAGAGTTAGTAAGCTATCAAGAAATTGAGATTGTTGACCATTATTGTTATCTTGGATTTGTATTTCACAAAAATAGAAAATTTACCTTCGGTTTGAAATCATTAGCTGTGAGTGCCACAAAATTTATGTATATACTTTTAAGAAATGCTCGTAACCTTGATCTACCACTTGACTGTACGATTAAAGCCTTCGATGTCATGATATTCCCAATTCTTTTGTATGGTGCAGAAATTTGGGGGTATTCAAACTCAAATATAAATATTCTTGAAAAAGGTACATCTGAAGTTTTTGAAGTTAGCATCAGGTCTTAAAATGTCTACATCTAACTTTATGGTGTATGGCGAGCGTAGCTAGCAGAAAACCATTAACAATTCCGATAGCTAAAAGAATGATAAGCTACTGGCATAAACAAGTGTCAGGAACGGAAAAACTATCGTGTGACCTTTTAACTTTTATCACATCAGATGTATCTTCCAACTATCAATCTCCTTGGGTTAGCCACAATGAATCAATATTAAACAACTGTGGTCTTTCATATGTATTACTGATGCCAAGCTTATATGACAGACAGTGGTTGGTTAGTATGATCGACACGATTCTCAGTGATCAGTTTTTTCAATCATGGAACAGTTCAGTTACTAACAGTTCAAAAGGCTTTTATTATAAATATTACAATAAATTACCTAAATTTGAAAATTACCTTTATCTACTAAAATCTATTTCTTATCCCTTACTTAAATTTAGAACTACAAATCATAAACTACCAACTGAAAAAGGTCGCTGGACCAATACACCAAAAGAAAATAGAACCTGCAACCTTTGTAATTCATCAGCCATAGCAGACGAATTTCATTACATTTTTCGATTTACATCACTTGAAAGTCATAGAAGAAATCTTATAACAATTAAATATACCAAAAATGCCAGCCTCCATTCTTTCAAATTACTCTTTTCATCCAGTAAAAGAAAGGAACTGAAATCCTTTGCAACATTTATAAATATTATTGCAACACGAGTGTCATAACCTCTCACTATCATGTTTGTTGTACCCATTATATGTACTGCCATCTTGCACATCATACTGTAATTCACTCTTATACCACCTTTGGTGGTCCTATTGACAATAAAGAATCTTAAAGAATCCAATAGTGTGCGTGTTTAGTCCCATCCGGGATTCGAACCCACGCTGTAAGACTGAGGCACCTAATTGTCCCCACACAAACTCAGCAATCTAACCCACACAACCACTGCGGATGGGACTCAACCTCCAAAAGTATTTGAATCCGTACTTTACTGAGGAAGTGTAATCCCAAATAAAATAACACCCAAATGGCATTGTGTATACAAAATTGTGGAAGAAATAACTTTACACAGCGCACAGACCAACCCTTTCGATCAAACGTACATGCCACACAACGGCCGAATTTGAGAAAACAATACTCTCTTTATGATAACATAAATAGGTATACAATTCCATCGATCAAAATCGCTCTAGTCAGACATTGCCGTGCAATGTGATAGTCGCGTGAACATGGATTCCTCCCATTGCAGGCCGAGGCGACCGAGGTGGCAGATTGGGCCGAGCTTAGCCGAATGCTTGCTGGCCTATAACGAAGCACGACAACAAGCAGGATGTGACCTCAGGGTCAGGTGACGTCACTGGATAGGTCATGTCATTTGCAATCCAACCTTCGGTTGCGAGTTTTATTATCCATTAAACAGTCTTGTGGTATACAGTTTGTTTTCTTTGTGTGTTTTCACAGACACATTCCATACGTTTGCATGTCCTTATTACGGGCCCTTGGTATACTAATAACTGTTGATACAAGGGTGTATATGAATGCAGCGCTGACATGAAGGGAGCGGACTTCTGTTATGTTTGTAGTTTACTGCTACAGTCATCTGAATTACGAAGCAGCCGTCTCGTTAAAATAGTTTGCCTGAGGCTGTCTATATGGTGGAGCCGCAATAGATATTATAACGTCTATCTATGTGAACAGAAGGCTGTCAAATCGTGTTGGAAAAATTGAAATTCAACACATTCCTCAACAACGAATGTCCATGTCGAATTTGAACACGATAAAAATGAGTGACAAATAAATTCTGAAGGAGCTAACAAAAAAGAAGACGTTTGACACAGCGTGCCTATACTTGTTTTGCAAACCTATCGTTTATTCCCGATTCACGAATATTGGTTATGACATAAGCTAGTAGAACGGCGTTATCTGTTGACATGAACACTGACAAGAACATTGACATGAACATTAACTATAACGTTGACGTATGGCGTATTGAACACCTTCATATATTCCTGGTAGCTGAGTGAATGTTGTTTTATGTCGTACTCAGCAACAGTTAATTTTGTTACAGCCTGAATAAAATACGAGGCGCGATCTGACAAGTTAGTGTCCCAAAACTGGAGTCGGGTACGAGGGCACGCAATAAACCAAGTCAGTTAACCTGTACCTGTGCAAGCATTAGGAGCGTAGGACCAGTTTTCACAAAACTCTGCTAATCTGCACGCCAAGGCCCCCTGAACGATATATGTTTTTATACAGTAATGAAACTGGTCTTATGGATGAGGTAGATACATTCTCATGCTGTACTGTGTTGAGAACACAATTCAGGACAGCGACAATATACATGAAACATTCCTGTCTGGTTGGGCAAATGTGGATTTATACAGTCATTTTATGCCCTTGCCTCGGGATGGTCAGACATGGAGTTGGTACGACGTTAACTGTTTGACATGAACATTGACAAGAACTATAACGTTGACAGTGTTTGACGTCAAATAAGGTCCAGTGTGATACTAGCTGGAACATATAAAAGGACGAGAGGCTCCGTAACAAGGTGAAGTCACTATTGCTATTGAACACAATCACAAGTGAATCACGCATACCATAAAGGTGACTTACACACAGTATTAAAAGTCATAAGGATTTCTCTCTGGTGAGACCTGAGTCTTACTCTAACTCTAAACTGCATACCGACATGGGTGTGTCACTGCTCTGGGTGCCCTGAAAGAGAAGTAAATATTTTCGAATGTTTACGTATCATAAAAAACCGCAATTAAACACATTCAAGCCATTCTGAAATATGTACTAAATCATATTAACTAGTGATCTTTTATAACAGCATTCCTTTCCCGATATTTTCAGATGCAGCTCATCGTTTACTGATAACTAAGGAAAGTTGAACTGTCAAACAAAACAGGACATACATGACTCTGAGCATTAGGTCTGTATATATTTTAAAGCTTGCCCCGGGGCAGTGTTTCAACACATTTCCGACTTCTGAGAAAGTATTCATACTTACGAAGTTGCATATAATCTGTCTCAACGCTGGAAAGAATACGCCAAACTAAGTTCAGATTTTATCGAAAGGACTTATTGACAGAACTTCTGCAACGCATTTCATATCTCTTTGGAAGACACAAACACGTATTTATTAATATATTTTAAGTTAAAACAAACATTGCGTAATCAATTATATTTAACAGTTATTTGAAAGGTCAAATCTAGTTACCACCACTTATTTCCTTCTGAACAGAAGTGTGCAGAGCGTGCATCGTCACATACAACCTGTATGTATATATATTTGTATGGAGATATGCCAACATTAAAGATGTCGTGCTCGACTAGCGAGCGAGAAGCACGCACTGCTTAGAATAAACACGCAGTACACGTTATCCACCTCGTGTAAACATCAGCCCAGGACTCTTTCTGCTGCTTTATATTTAGCCTGGGTCGTCAAATCGGAATTTGAATGTGATTTATTTGCAAATTCGGCGAGGATTCATGTTTCTGATGCAGCGTTACAAGGCCTCCCTCCTGCTGTCTCCCGCCCATGTACAGTCTCAAAAGGGGCTGTATACATTTCCCCTGGGGCTTAGTGACATAAATGCGTATCCATTTCTATTATAAAAGGCGTGTTTCGGTCGGTGAAACGTCATGGCTCTTGCGTATTAAGATAGCAAGCTGTTAGGTCTTCGGTATGTTGAAATCTGACTTTCATCCTGTAAACAGCTATAATATTGTTGAGATTGTTTCGGGGGCGGGGCACGCACGCACGCACACACTCGCACACCCATCCATCTGCACAGATTGACTGACCCGCTCTCTCCGATCGGCAGCCAATGGCCTACCTGTCCCCAATGACGACAGTACATCGTGGCATTATACGTTGACGAGACTACGCCGGGCATGTCTTGGAAAATATATGACATAGTGGTCACTTCCTGGTTCTACAGCTACTGTCAGGCTTGAGACTCCTGTGGTTTGAGACAAGCATACATCATTGTCGCACACGAGTCATCGTGACGATTTACCTGAACACAACAATGTCACTGCTGTCAAGACGTATAGAACATCCGTGTGATGATGGATTCTCACCCTGGCTTGTGACTGTGTCCTCCTCATCCACGTCATAGGTGAGTTGAGGTGAGGTGAGTTGAGGTGAGGTGAGGTGAAATGGCGTTTAACGTCGCCCTTAAGAATATTTCGCCCATATGACGACGTGC